AAAAATCTTGGTACAGAAAAAAAATCAGTCTTTTCTTCAGAATTCACACTGGTAATCAGAGAAAAGGGAAATCAATGAAACAGTGTTTTGAAGATAAAGCTACCTGATTTTCAAGTTATTATTTTTCATGTTTAATGATACAATAAAATCTTGACAAAAATGCAAGATTTCATAGCACAGCTTAAGACTTGTTTGTCTAATCTGTGAATTGTCTTTGGGATGTTGTGATACACAAAGATCTTGAAGAGCAAACACTTTAAGAAAGAGAGGATAAAAACTCCCTGGAGCAGGAAATAATCATGAGTACTGACTGTAGGTCATTGTTTAAATGAATGAAAACATACACACGCATACAAATGAGTTGACACAGAGAAACATTAAAAAAAAAAACAAACTTTTTATTGTCCTAAAATTAAGGCTTAAATACCATGACAGCATGAGTTAGGGTATGAATAGGGGTCAGAGTTGGAAAGTAAAATGCATTCTAGACTCTCTAACCTAGCAACAGACTCATAGAAGATGCCAAATAAATTACAGCTATTAAAAAAAAAAAGCAATTGTAACAGCAAGTTTCTGTGTGGCAGTAAGAGAGATATCATTTCCTGGGTAAAGCAGACGATTGGACAATACATTTTCTCTTGCTTTATGAGCAGTGGTCTCTACTGCTACATACTTGATGTTTGCCATGGAGAATGTCTGACCTTTAGCTCATTTTGACAGGGCTCCTAAAGTTCCTTTTAATATCAGCATTGATTTTGATGACATCAAGTTCAAACATCCATCAAGGTCAACAAGAGATGTATCAGTAGAAATTAAGAGCCTGGATTGCAAATATTCAATTTCAAGTTGTTTTTGTGTGAATTCACCAAGATGTTTTAGTAAGCCAAAGCTAGCTAAACATTGCATTGACCAAACCCATGCCATATATTATTTGTAAATTTTGTAAGGTACATTTTTATGTTTGCACACACATGTCAGTTTTACCACAGACACACAAACATATATATGTATATTTTACATACAATGTATAAATGATTAATCTAAATATATGTGTGTGTATATATAGACCTTAAATATATATTCAATTATACTAAACAACTTTCATTTTACTTCCTCAGTTAAGAGTTCAGTTACTCTAACCTTAATTTTTTTCTATATTTTACGCTTGAAATTTAGAAGACTCCTGTTAAATACATCTGTATGTACATCATATAGACCCAGGTCAAGATTATTAGGTAAACAAATACCATCCCAAATAATAACTTATTCCCACTGGGTGTTACATTTTTCAAAGGATAATGTCAACAAAAAAACATTACAGAGTAAGTACGGGTGTGTGCATGCTAAGTTGCTTCAGTCATGTCCAACTCAATGCGACCCTATGGACTATAGTCTGATAGGCTCCTCTGTCTGTGGAAGGCAAGGATACTGGGTTGCCATTTCCTCCTCCACGGGATGTTCCCGACCCAGGGATCAAACCCATGTACCTTATGTCTCCTGAACTGGCAGATAGGTTCTTTACCACTACTCCACCTGGGAAGTCCCACATAATAAGAACAACGCAGAAGAAAAAGGCAGAAAACAAAGCCAATTTTTGTATGATTCAACTGAGAGACAGAAATTCAACAACAAATACTAAAAGTTATTCCCATATAGCTACAATTCAAATACATTGCCACTAAATATAATTCAGCCCCATCTTTATATTCTCATATCTAGAATTAAAGTCTCATTTCCCCCTGTAGCCACTTTAGAGAAAGACAGGAATCTAGTAACATCAGGATTTCCTGAAAAGTCAGGATGTTTAATTAGCTGATTTAATTTTTCTGTAGGATAACTCTGAATCCGTGTTAACTTATTTGAATACAAAGAAATTATGGTAGAAAAAGGATTCAGCTTCACTCCAAATAGAAGTCTTATATTACTGGGGGAACAGCTGGAGTTGTTCATTAAAGATAGTATTGAAAAGTGTGCTTTAAATGATCTTGGAAGGCAACATGAATAATCATTGTATTTACTTCCAATGACCATAAGAGAAGAACCCAAAAGATTCGCAGGGTAGCAGTTTTGAAGACCTGTATCAATTGACAGAAGTTGTCCATGAGATTAAACCTATTCACCATCCTGATTAAAGGTGTTAATGCTTCCTTGATTTGGCAAAAATTTTAAATCAATGCCACTGGTTTTCATTTTTCTTTGCCTTTAAATTTTAGTAGTAAGGGTTTGAAAATAAATGCAAGTATGTATTTAAATGTCCCAAATGAAACTAGTCTCAGCTCTTATTTATTATTATATTACTACTCCTCATTTCAACATGTCATATGGCAAATACTCAATCAAGACTTCCTTTTATCGATAGAATGGATTTCCTTAGGAAATCTCTATGGATCCCTACTCTGTTCTGTTACAAAGGTATTGCCTAGCCATTGAAACTGAAAAGTAACCTACACCTGTGTTCCCACAATATACCTGTACTTTCTTTCTGGAGGCATCATTTATATATATGTACACATGTATATATGTATGTATGTATGTATTTGTGACAAATGATACATCCAACCTCACAGACAAAACATTTTGAGGACAAATTTTATTAAAAAAATTACATATATCAAGAGACCCTTGATATATATCCTTCATTTATCAAGTGACCATATCACTGAAAGAAGTGTCTCCTATTGACCTACGATATATTTAGCCTCTATCTGAAAAATTCACCAACAATTCCTACCTAATGAACTTACACAGGGAAGAATATTTTAGGTTAAAGCACGTCAATTTAAACATTTAAACATTTTCTGTCAAAAAAATAGCTTTAAAATTTTGAAAAAGTTATCTCATACTAAAATTGAAACAGTTATATTAAAACTCAACCCAAAACGTTAGCTATTAAAAGATTACTTAGAGTTAATAATTATTGGAGAAGGAAATGGCAACCCACTCCAGTGTTCTTCCCCGGAGAATCCCAGGGACGGCGGAGCCTGGTGGGCTGCCGTCTATGGGGTCGCACAGAGTCGGACACGACTGAAGCGACTTAGCAGCAGCAGCAGCAGAGTCAATGATTAAAACATCTGAGCAGTTTTGGGAAGAACTAGTATTTGTTTTAAAGATTTTTTTAGATGTGGGTCATTTTTAAAGTCTTTATTAAATTTGTTATAACATTGCTTCTGTTTCACATTTTGGTTGTTTGGTCACAAGGCATGTGGGATCTTAGTTCCCTAACCAGGTACCAGACCTGCACCACCTGCACTGGAAAGTGAAGTCTTAACCACTGGAAGGCCAGGAAAGTCCCAGGGAAGAACTTATTATTGAAAAATACTTTGTATCATAGTTAAGAATAAAGAAATTGCAAGTATGTCTTCACTGCTACATGAGTATATTACCTCATTCCCTTCCTTTGTTTCTCTTTTTCTTTCTTGTGGTATGTATCTGTGATTAGGTTCCTGACAAATTTTCACATTTTTAACAAGCAAGATGATTTGCCTATGGAAATCCCATATTATGTATTTTCATTCTGTGCACAACATATACTACATTAAAAGTAAAATTATTTAGAAAGAATAGTTTCCATAATTTTTACTTCTCTTATAAATGTAAAACCTGGGTGACACCAAGAAAATTGTATTGCAAGCATTATTATACACATCCCTTATTCTTTAGCAAAAAGATATAGAGTTCTCTGGTTTCTAAATCAGTCTCATCCCATCTGACCCCATTAAAACACAGTGCAACAGATCTAAGCATAAAAAACTGAGACATTTGCATTGGTTTGGAAAGAATATATACCCACACGGGGACAGACAAGTGACGTTTTTATAGTTCCAAATACGTTTTCTTATTGAATTTGCACCTGCTTAAAGCCCAGCCAAATTGTGGTACATGGGCCAGTTCTATTTTCCATTTTCTTTGTGAATTAAAAGTAAAATAAATGTGCAATTGAGCCTAGACAGCAGATGGTCCGCAATAGGTACAAACATATTGTACCATATGTCTAAATGGTACTTTCAGAAGTACTTGGCACTGCTAGAATATTTCATTTTCAATAGACATATGAATATACATACAGTACTACAATTAAAGATAAAGTGACTGATTCACATCTTAGCATTTGGGAGAAGAGCAGTTTAGGAATAGGTTGTGTGCTCCCTCTGGGAAACAGCAGTTTCCTATGTTGATCCCTAATGGGATAGAGAAAAGCAAAGCCAACACAGGGTGGTAAGCTTGTGGAGAATTTTGTACCTTTAACAAGGCATGAACAAGTAAGTATATGCAAATGAGCCTCCCTCTGGTTTCAGAACTGTCTCTGGGATAGCTGGATATCCTGGTGAAAAAGCTGAAGGTACCTGAAGCCCTTCCTTTTAACTCATCTGATTATCATTATCTTTGTCCCATTCCCATATACTTTCCTTTCTTCACTGCATAATGAAAAAAAAAAACCAGGAACTTTTAACGTGACAAAGTTCAGTTGATACTTTTACAGAGAGTGAAAACTGAAGTTCAGAAATGTTATCTGCCTTGACTAATAGGACCTATTATGGCAGCCAAATGCTAATCCAGGTTTTTAAGCCCACATTCAGAATCTTACATATGCTGTACCTGAACTTTCTAAAGATACATAATATATACTTACCTCTATACTAAGGAATGTGTTAGTTTCTCTTCTTTTAGATGATAAGTGAATGTATAGGTATGGGTTTTTCAGGGTTTTTTTTTTCTTCTTCTAATTTTACCCCGGGGTGAGTTTAATCAAAGATATGGCTTCAGATATTACTTCCATGCAATCATTACTCATTTACAATCTAGACCTAAATATATAACTAACAGTTATATATTCACTATGACTGTTCCATCAACCCATGTCACTAAACACAGGAAAATGGTGCATTTTATTACCACAGTGTCCTGGTGAGCCTTATTCAATCTAGACTCCCATGGTGTAGATTTTGGCCCTAATATGCACACAAATCATGAACAAACCTTTAGTCATCTTTGTCACTTACCTCATTTCCAGCTGCCAATTCAATTTATGGATAGTTCCGTTACTGGCAAAGCTGACTGGTGTCCACGGGTGAAAAAATAAGACGTAATTCGGGTGATGAGGTCTAATCTCTTCTTTGGGGCTTAGTCTAGTTTCATTTGGGTTTCCCTGGTAGCTCAGTGGTCAAGAATCTGCCTGCCAATGCAGGACATGTGGGTTTGATCCCTGGGTCTGGAATATTCCCTGGAGAAAGGAATGACAACTCACTCTGATATTCCTTCCTGGGAAATCCCAGGTACATAGGAGCCTGGCGAGCTGCAATCCATGGGGGTCACAAGAGTCGGACATGACTTAGCGACGCAGCAGTAACAACAACTGGTTTTTCTTGCCAACAGTGGGTTGCGTGCAGAGGCCTTGCAAGTAACAAGTCGAGTTGGAGTTTCCACAGAGGAACTGCTGCTCATAACACACCAGCGCGGTGTGCCCGCAGGAGAAGCGCTGTTCACAACGCCTCAACTCAAGATGGCGACGGTCCTGTGAGGAGAAGCTGGGCCAGGCACCTGGGTCTGGGGCGGTAAGCAACGCGCCTGCGCCTCACAGACGAGAACTGCGCCTCACGGACTAGAACTCCGCCCCCTCCTCACTGACGGAAACCTGCAAAACAGTCCCAACCGCAGCCTCTTGAGGAGCGCGTGTCTGCTGGAGCAGGAGTTCCCAACCTCCAGGCTGACTGGTTCATGCTGCCAGATCAGTGGTGGCATTAGATTAGAAATAAAGTGCACGATAAATGTAACATGCTTGATCATCTCCCACCTATCCTCTGGAATCCTTGGTCGCTGGCACTGTTCTAGAGCAGGAGTTAGCACTTTTCCATTCTTTGATAAAGATCTCCTTTGCCTCTGAACTGAACTCAATCTCATTCCAAAGGCTCAAAAGACACCTGACAGAAAGACGCTTGCTGGGGGTGGACCCACAGGGGCGGACAACAGCGTCTTCCCTGCTATTGTAATGGCTCTCTAATGTGCATTTTCCTTAGCACATCCAGTTCTAGTTCCCAGCCTTGTTCTAGACTTTCTACTCTATACTATTAAAGAGCTTATTAACCTTCTAAATGTTCAATGCTTTTTTTACATATGTTTTGTGCTGTTTGCAATTGTGAATTTGCTGATTTAAATGTTCTTTCTGAATTACCTAACACAAATTTTAAAATATGCTTTAAAATGTGGAAAGTGCAAAATAACATAAGTAAATGCCTACTGTATATTTCTTCAGACATTTTAAAATATTGGGGGGGAGGGGGGTCCAGTTCCAAGGGGTTACTTAGGAGGTATTCTGGACTCACCTCTTTTCAGAGACTCAAAAAAATCTCTCTTAAAAAAAAAAAAAAAAAAACCCTCTCTAAAAAAAGAAAAACTTCTGAGCAACTTCTACTTGAGGAGCCAGTGAGAGAACGTTCACATCTGTTGAGGAGGCTGGGACACAATCTCTCCATAAACCCCATCCTTAGCACAGAGACCCACGATCAGGAGGGAACTCCACCGTGAGAAGTGAAAGCTTTGAACCGCACACTGGACACCCATATTGCTGATCCCGCTGGTGACGCCAGTTGTCTTGCTGTGTCCACTGCCCGCACTGCTCGCTGAACCCAGGGTAGGCAAGGCGCGAGCTCAGAGGCTGGAAGGAGACTCCAGGAGCCCTAGCAATCGCAGACACGCTTGTTTTCCCCTGGCAGCCATGCCACACGTCTCTCCTCTCATGGCTGACCCCACAGACACAGCCGTGACACAGCAGTAATGCCGCTGCTTTTTTGGGTGGAGCTTGCATATGCTCCTCTGTGACCGAGTGAGTGCTTTTTGAGGGGCATGCGCAGTCCTAAAGGTTATCTCAGTTGTTAGATAAACCCCGTGACGTGCATGCACAGTGCTATAAGTGATCTCAGCTGTTACATATCATTATTTACAAAATGTGGGGAGAAGCTAGAGGCCGTGGGGCAGAGCGCCTGACCAAGCTATCTTCGCTAATTTGCTCTTTCCCTACAACACCTCATTCAAACCTGCTTCTATAAGATGAACCCCTAATACATATAACTTTGGAAGCCACAGAGGCAGACTCAAGTCTGCAAAACCCCAAGGCTTCATAGTGTGAGAAAGGGCCCAAATGGCTTGCAAGATCAGTCTCCATAGCCTTAGGGCACAGCTTGGAAACAATAGATGGAGAGGCTTATTTGCTAATCCTAAAGCATTAACCTGTGATGGAGGCATCTAATTTTCTGGCATATTGGATCTAGTTCCCAGACCAAGGGATTGAGCAGGGGTCAAACCTGCACCCCTGCAGTGGAAGCATCAATTCTTAACCACTGGACCACTAGGGAAGTCCTGGGAGGTATTAATATCTAATTTAATACACATTAGAGGCTGGAAGGCACCATCATCATAGTCTTTCTCTGCCTCACTACAGCATACTTGTATTAATAACTCCCAGAAAGAAACTTACACAGTCATCTGGAGTCACAGTTTTTGCAACTGATACCTGGGGATGACCTCCAGACCTCCCAGTTGCCCAGTTCTGGAGGTCAGCATGGCTTATGCTTGTAGTTCCATAGGACTGTATACATTTGTACACTTGAAAAGCTGCTGTCTGAGCATGTGTTCCCAGTCAGGCTGAATCTAGATACAGAATCTAGACTGAGATCCTCTCTTCTGGGAAACTGAAAGATCTTGGCACACCCTAAACTACTGGGGACCATTAAAAATAAAATAGGCTGCTTGGCCAATCGTAGAAGTTTGAAGGACAACCTAGAGCTAGGCCAGGATTAAATGATAAAGATTATATCCTGCATGAGGCCATTCCTTCAAGACTAGGAGAGGTGGCTCATTTGTCTAATACATAAGAACTAACAGAGAGTCAAGCAAAATGAAGGAGCAATGTTCTAACAGAAGAACACAAAAAAAATTTAAACTACTGTTTTGGTAGAATTCAATAATATCATGCAATAAATCTGTATTCTCTGACCTTCATTCAATTAAGATTATGTCCTTAGAGATATTTACATTATATAGCATGAACCACATAGTTTAAAACTATTGAAAAAATAAAACCAGGTAGGTCACAAAGGTATAAATTATATGTCTATACCATCTATCCTTATATAGGCATACGGTGAGTAATATTTCATATAAAATTAACATTGTTTTTTTTCTTACTGTAGTTTTACTTTGCTTACAAAGAATTGCATTATCATAGGTTATACCTGTCTCTCTCATAATTGAAGAAACTGCATGTCAGCCTATCATCACAGATAAACTTATTTTTAATGTAACAATGTTTCAAATACTGTTTCGTGAAAATGACTGTCATACTGTATACCATACGAATGTTATAATGATTCATTCATTAGTGTATGGTCTAGGCCTCATGAAGAAATCATATAGATTACCCTAGGCCACAATAAAACAATCCTGTTGTTGCTTCTTCATCAACAATTGTATCGATTATTATATCTGTAAAAGATATTTCTTTTTTAAAAACTTTAATGTAGTAATATATATGTATTTGGAGAAGGGAATGGCTACCCACTCCAATATTCTTGCCTGGAAAATCCCATGGACAGAGGAGTCTGGCAGGCTACAGTCCATGGGGTCTCAAAGAGTCAGACATGACTGAGTGACTAACACACACACACAATATATATATATATTATCTACAGTGTATTATATCATAAAAAACAATATTGTAGGTATCAACAGACAATTCATCTTATAAATAGATGATGTAAACTTACAATATTGACAGAATACAGGACTATAAACAATTTTTCTTCTTTATGATTTTCTTAATTTTTTTTTCTTTAGCTTACATTATTGTAAGAATAAAATACAAAATATATGTTAACTGCTTATAAGTAAATCTTCCAGTCAAGAGTAGTCTATTAGCAATTAAGTTTTTGGGGAGTCAAAATTGTGCATGGATTTTTGACTGAGCGGGGGAGGGGGTCAATGGTCCAACCCCTGTGTTGTTCAAGTGTCAACTGTACCAGAGATAAAATAGTAGTACTCTTTTCCTTTGTACAGAAACATACTTCACTAGGGCCATGGCTGAACATCTTCTATCAGACCACTCTTCCCATAGATAAAACCTATAAATTTTGGTAAACAAAAATAAACCTGAAGGCAGAAAGCATAATCAAAAGCACTCAGATACTAGTTAATAAAAAGTTAAACTGAGAATAAAAAATAGCACTAAGTAGAGTTCCTTCTTTCACAGATAGTCTCTTGATATTCAACCGTAGTCATCTCCGTCAGGAATAATTCAAATTCTATTAGAAAAAAAAGACTGAAATGAACTAGAAAAAGGTGTGTACTACCAGAGTCAAAGAAAACTGAGAGGGAATATCTCTCAGTTAGAGAGGGAAATTAGAGGACCAGAGAGAAAGAGACCCACATCTATATATAAAATTTGCCAGATTCTGACTTACCCTTGAAGTCTGAATTACTGAGGCATATTATAAGAACTGCAGAAAAGGCCAAAAAAAATTGAGACTTGCACTTCTGTACCCACAAGATAGACAAAATTGTGGTTCAGGAAAATTGAATGCTTGCTTAAAAAGCAAAATCAATATTCATAGGAGGAACAGAAAGAGCTTAAAGTAGAAATTCTAAAAATATGTAAAATAAAATATTCATCACTCAATGTCAAAGAGTCACACACAACTGAGCAACTGCACAACAGTGTCAAAGATAGAAGTCAAAATGCTCAACAAATAAATACATAGGAATATATGACTGACTGTCTAGAAAGTAAGACAACCAACAAAGGCTAACATGAGATAACCCAGTCTGGAAATTACAGCAGAGAAAAAAAATTATAAGAAAAAATAAAGTTATAATTCTAGAATGGAAAAGAAAAATATCTAAAAGAAAAAAAAAAAGAAAAAGAAAAACTTCACTGGACGGGCCTAGCAAACGAACAGAAATAACAAAATAGAGATCCAGTGAGCTGAGCATGCTGCCTCCGCTGCTGCTTAGTCACTCAGTCGTGTCCAACTCTTTGCGACCCCATGGACTGTAGCCTGCCAAACTCCTCTGTCCATAGGGATTCTCCAGGCAAGAATACTGGAGTGGGTTACAATGCCCTCCTGCAGGGGATCTTCCCAAAGCAGGGATAGAAGCCAAGTCTCCCACATTGCGGGCAGATTCTTTCCATCTGAGCCACCAGGGAAGCTCTAACATA